CTTTATTTTAAAGTCTATTTTATCTGATATTGAGTATTTGCTGACCCAGCTTTCTTTTAATTTCCATTTGCATGGAATATCTTTTTCCATCCCCTCACTTTCAGTCTGTATGTGTCCCTAGGTCTGAAGTGGGTCTTCAGACCCACTGAAGTGTAGACAGCATATATATGGGTCTTATTTTTGTATCCATTCAGTGAGCCTGTGTCTTTTGGTTTGAGCATTTAATCCATTCACGTTTAAGGTAATTATCGATATGTATGTTCCTGTTACCATTTTCTTAATTGTTATGGGTTTGTTTTTGTAGGTCCTTTTCTTCTCTTGTTTTTCCCACTTAGAGAAGTTCTTTTCGCATTTGTTGTAGAGCTGCTTTGGTGGTGCTGAATTCTCTTAGCCTTTGCTTGTCTGTAAAGCTTTTGATTTCTCTGTCGAACCTGAATGAGATCCTTGCCTGGTAGTGTAATCTTGGTTGTAGCTTCTTCCCTTTCATCACTTTAAATATATCATGCCACTCCCTTCTGGCTTGTAGAGTTTCTGCTGAGAAATCAGCTGTTAACCTTATGGGAGTTCCCTTGTATGTTTTTTGTCATTTTTCCCTTGTTGCTTTCAATAATTTTTCTTTGTTTTTAATTTTTGTCAATTTGATTACTATATGTCTCGGCATGTCTCTCCTTGGGTTTATCCTGCCTGGGACTCTGCACTTTCTGGACTTGGGTGGCTATTTCCTTTCCCATGTTAGGGAAGTTTTCGACTATAATCTCTTCAAATATTTTCTCAGGTCCTTTCTCTCTCTCTTCTCCTTCTGGGACCCCTATAATGCAAATGTTGTTGCATTTAATGTTGTCCCAGAGGTCCCTTAGGCTGTCTTCATTTCTTTTCATTCCTTTTTTCTTTATGCTGTTCCGCGGCAGTGAAATCCTCCTTTTTGTCTTCCAGGTCACTTATCCATTCTTCTGCCTCAGTTATTCTCCTACTGATTCCTTCTAGTGTATTTTTCATTTGAGTTATTGTATTGTTCATCTCTCTTTGTTTGTTCTTTAATTCTTCTAGGTGTTTGTTCTTTAATTCTAGGTCTTTGTTAAACATTTCTTACATCTTCTCGATCTTTGCCTCCATTCTTTTTCTGAGGTACTGTATCATCTTCACTATCATTATTCTGAATTCTTTTTCTGGAAGGTTGCCTATCTCCACTTCATTTAGTTGTTTTTCTGGGGTTTTATCTTGTTCCTTCATCTGGTACATAGCCTTCTGCCTGTTCATCTTCTCTATCTTTCTGTGAATGTGGTTTTTGTTCCACAGGCTGCAGGATTGTAGTTCTTCTTGCTTCTGCTGTCTGCCCTCCCCTCTTATCTGATCTCTTGAAGAGTTATTGGTGCCACCCTTAGAGCACATTTGCCATTAAGTGGGACACTAGGAATGCAATCCACCAAATGTCAGAATGGAGGCAGCCACAACTTAGGTCCTCTTGGTATAATGTGTTTGGCTATGGACAGTAGTAAGATGGTTCTGATACTGTTTCCTGACAATGTTAGTCTGCCACATAGCTGTCTTCATAAAGGCCAGTCAAGGCCTTGTCGATATCAGGGAGCAAAAGAGAAAGCATTATTCTGAGAGTCAGTGCACACTACTGTTCAATCCTATGCTTTTTAGTTGCATCATGTACATTTAGTGGACACAAACCCAGGTATCTTACTTTGTAGTTAACAGCATGAAAGAATTGATGCATTAGCTAGGAGTATACAAATATCTGGATTTCCTAGTACTCGCCATAGTATTTTAGAAAGTTATCGTCATGCTGATGACCATAGGTGAGATGCTCTGCTCCTTGTGCTGTTTGCAACTTTTCTTTAGTAAATTCTTAACTTGCTACGTGTTGCAGAAGACATGATGAATTTGAAAATGGCCAAGAAGATAAGCAGCTGAAAGTAGCCAGAGGTTGGAATAGCTTCCTTACAAGAGAATTTTGTTTTTTTTTAAAGAGGACTCTGGAAATGGGAGTAGGACCAGCTCTAAAAATGAGTAGGAAAAGGTACATGTGTTCACTAAATCCTGGAATACTGAATCTAGGAGGAACTCTTGAATATCAAAGAAGGTAGTTTCAAAATGAATGAACAATAAAAAAAAAAGTGAATGTGTAGATGTGCAAGTGCAAGTTCAATATGAAGTGACCTTAGGACCTTGTTATCACAGTGGAATCCTGAATGGAATGATTCACTAATAGAATCAGCCACTTTATGGAATCACCAATGGATATGGTGTAACAATGAGGCTGAATATAGCAGTTCCTTTTCCTCTTTCCCTTGGGCAGAGGTTGTCAACTCCAGTGTCTACAGGGATTGGGCAGGAAATGTAAATGAGTAAACTGGACCGGACTCTTGCTATCAAGGAGCTGATAGAGGGTGGTAGGGACCACAGTGAACTGGTGAATTCATGCCCTGTCTCAAAGAGGCCAGGGATGGCTCAGCTGTTGCCTGTGTTTTAAAATGAAGCTATGGGCCCAGGCTTGCCAGTCTTCTACTTTCTCCCAAAACCCAGAAATCTAGAGTTTTTAAAAAAGTGAAATGCTGTTTTTAAAGGCTAGCAATTATTTTTAAAAATCTTTTGTCAAAGTGCTGTGGCACAAAGAAAAGCTCTCTGCAGACTGAGTTAGGCCTTTGCATCACTAGTTTTTTGTTTGTTTGTTTGTTTGTTTTTTGTGGTACGCGGGCCTCTCACTGTTGTGGCCTCTCCCGTTGCGGAGCACAGGCTCCGGACGCGCAGGCTCAGCGGCCATGGCTCACGGGCCCAGCCGCTCCGCAGCATGTGGGATCTTCCCGGACCGGGTCACGAACCCGTGTCCCCTGCATCGGCAGGCGGACTCTCAACCACTGTGCCACCAGGGAAGCCCTGCATCACTAGTTTTTAACAGCTGTCTCCAAAGGAGACAGGTTACCTCCATTCCTAGAGATTTAATTTGAATTCTTGATCATCTCTAGTGTCCATGTGTGATTAGTTTGAATAATCATGGTCGTGTCCCTGATGCCTCCTGGTCTGTGGTGGTTTAATTAATGCTACGTTCTACCCACTGACCTATTTTTCATTTTTAAAATATCTGACGCCACCACCTCCTCTCCTGCAACACTAAACAACTAGTTCAGATAGTTATATGTACACGTGTGTGTGTGTGTGTGTATTCAAAGCTACTCTGCCTCTTTATGTACAGAGGCTACTGACCTTGTAAGCTGAGGAAGTTAAAACTGTGCTTTGCAAGAAGGAAAGCAGATATGGTCTTAGATAATAGATCCATATTAGAATAAGGGATGTTAACAGTGCTCAGGGGCTCTCCCCAATTAGAACGGGCAGTGTTCCAAGAGCTCTGCCACAAAGTGGCTTTTACTTCCATGAGCAGAGGCAGCGAGCAGGACTGGGTAGACCAGTAGTCTGTCCCATCATGGGTTGCTTTCTTTGTATTTGCTACTCTTAAGAATTGAATGAAGATAGAATGAAGAGGTCCTCTGGTCATACCCTTGCACACAACTTCAGATGTGGTAAAGCTGGGTGATGCTGGGAAAGCCAACATGTCAGCACCAAGGAGTCAGCAGAGAGGGATGGAGCAGTGTGTTCTGGATAAAGGCGTCGCTCAGTCCAAGAGTCCAAGAAGCAAAACCACACGCTGCAACCAACTCTGTAAACAGTGGTAGAAGCCACAAACCAAAGAAGATTCTTCATATTTAGCCCCCAAACTGTTCATCCTGCCGGCATTCTTTTGGCCATCATTTTCAACCATAGCTACCTACCCAAATTAGTATTATCGGTGTCTTATTCATCTTTGAATCCCTAGTGCTTAGAATGGGGCATTGAAGGATCATAGTAAATGTTGATAGAAAAGGTGATTTAATCATGGCTTCGATGCCAAATTTTAGACTTTGTTCCTATTTCTGCCTGATGGAATTATGCCAAATATAGTTCTACTGACATTTGTTGAGTTGCCTACTTTATTCAAAACATTGGGTTAGGCATATGAAGATGGATTAGACCCATTCCTGCCCACCAAGGGCTCACCTGGTTGATGGGAACAAGAGGCATTTGCAGGTTGCTGTGAGGCTATTGTGCTCAGTACTACAATAGCAGTAGACATTGGTTCTGGGGAATCTGAGGTCTTGCCTCCCCATTCTTTCTTTTTTTTTTAAATGTATTTATTTAATTTATTTATTTTTGGCTGGGTTGGGTCTTTGTTGCTGTGCGTGGGCTTTCCCCAGATGAGGCGAGCGGGGGCTACTCTTCGTTGCAGTGCGTGGGCTTCTCATTGTGGTGGCTTCTCTTGTGCAGAGTATGGTCTCTAGGCGCCCGGGCTTCAGGAGTTGTGCCTCGCTGGCTCTGGAGTGCAGGCTCAGGAGTTGTGGCGGACGGGCTTAGTTGCTCTGCAGCATGTGGGATCTTCCCAGACCAGGACTCAAAACCTGTGTCAACTGCATTGGCAGGTGGATTCCTAACCACTGCGCCACCAGGGAAGCCCTTGCCTCCCCAGTCTTACCTTTCATATTTACAGTTTACTCTTTGGTATTTGGGGTTCTGTACCCATCAGCTTGTTGAAACAGTGTTACTGTTAACTGCCAAATCCAGTGGACTCTGTAGGTCTTCCAACCCTCATAATCTCTTTGTAATATTTGATACACTGTTTCCTATACCATGCCCTTCTAGAAAAATCTCTCCATCCCTGACTACAACAGTTTTGATATTTTTTTCTTACTGCTCTGATTGTTCTGTCTTTTTAAAAGATATTCTTTTAAACCACCAGTTCTTAAGGACAAACATTCTTCTCTATCCTCTTTTCCCATTCTCTCTTCAGCATACCCTTTTCATTGGAAATCTTATGAACTTCCACAGCTCTTTTGTGGAAGAGAAAAGGTTGAAGTGAAATAAGATTTGCCTAATACTGTTTCTTTCCTTAGCTACTGTGTTTTGTGAGAAGCTTGCTTTAAATAGGACACTGTTTCATCTGCACCTCATCCTATTTTCTGCAGGATCAGAAGCCATCAGTTATTTCCCTTCAGAAGCTCATTGCTAGGGAAGTTGCGAATGAGGAGAGAGGAATGTTTCTGATCAGTGCTTCATCTGCTGGTCCTGAGATGTATGAAATTCATACCAACTCCAAGGAGGAACGGAATACCTGGATGAGGCGGATCCAACAGGCAGTAGAAAGGTAACATTTCCTTCTGTCCATTATTGAGGCAATGGACTTGTTCCATTGGGGAAAATATTCTGTGTCTCCCCTGCATGAAAACTTAGCCTCAGCCAGAAGGGTCTGCTCCCCGCCCCCTGCCCCAGCCTGCAGTAGCCCCTCATCTGCACCTTTTTTTCTCCATGCCTTCCTGCCTGTAACGCCCTGTCTCCCTCTGCCTGTGTGAATCCTGCCCATCTTGGTGCCACTCATGGCTCACCTCCTTCCTGAAGACGTCTTCAGTTCCACTGGTCTCTTCCTTACCTGAAATTCCTTAACACCTGCTCTCAAAGCATTTATTTGGTGCTTGTCATCTTCAGCCTTGCAGCTATTATCTTTTTTATGTATATATGTTTGGTTATTAGATTGGAAGCTCCTTGAGGGCAGGGATCATGTCTGTGTTTCTCTTTGTCCCTAATTCTGAAAAATCATTCAATAAACCTTTTTAGATTGCTGGATCTAAGTGTGCTACATCAACTTACCCCTCATTACTTGTGCAAAGACAGTTTTTTATAAACGGGGGCGTGAGGGTGATCATTCTTAATGGTAACTTGATTAGTTAGATCTTGAATGATGTTGTATAAAATTCCTCCTCCTCCACTGCGCCCCACCCACCCTGGCACCCTGCCACCATCCCCTCCAGTCTCTCTACCGTCATTAAGAACGGAAGTGCCCAAATGCAGTAGAAAGCAACAATTATGATTTGAGTTGTACCTACTGGTGGCATTGGTACTGTGTGCGTGTATGAGTGTATGTTTGTGTATGTGTGTGTTTGTTGGAATATTTGAGTCATCCTAAACTGCTGACTTTGAGAGCTATGTTATGTTATGCAAGGTCCATCATATACTCAAGAAAACCAAATCTCTTGGCCAGGGGGCATGATGAATTCTCTTTCTGCTGAATTTTTCTTCTCCGAATAATTCTACTGCCAAGTTCCCATTTCTTTCTAATGAGCCTAAAGATACTTGGATTTGGTTTCAGTTGTCTCTCTTGACTGTTGTCTTTTAAAGTTGCCCAGAAGAAGAAGGGGGAAGGACAAGTGAGTCTGACGAAGAAAGGCGGAAAGCTGAAGCCAGAGTGGCCAAAATTCAGCAATGTCAAGGTATAGTGCAGACGCCTCTCATTCCCGGGTCGTGCAGTTCTCCTTGGAGGTTGGGAAAGCCCAGGTGTCATGAATGGGAACGTATGACTAAATGATTAATTCTGTGCACTGGAGGCCCACCCCGACCACTCTCAAAAAAATACATACAGGGGCTTCCCTGGTGGCGCAGTGGTTGAGAGTCCGCCTGCCAATGCAGGGGGCATGGGTTCGTGCCCCGGTCCGGGAGGATCCCACGTACCGCGAAGCGGCTGAGCCTGTGAGCCGTGGCCACTGAGCCTGTGCATCCGGAGCCTGTGCTCCGCAATGGGAGAGGCCACAGCAGTGAGAGGCCCGCGTACCTCAAAAAACAAAACAAAACATAAAAAACATACATACATGCATATATATATATAGATAGATAGATAGATAGTAGATATCAATAGTAGAGATATATATATGTATATATATATATACACTGGCACTAAAGGTGCTCAAATAAAATGACTCCCTCCCTCCTTAGTGATTAAAAATATATTTTAAAAATTCTGCATGTAACGTAACAGCAATTGTGGACAGTATGGTGCAGATGGGCATTGGACCTGTTGTCTAGTGTTTTGATTTTAGATCTCACACTGTTAGGTCATGGTTGTATGACTTTGGACAAGGAACACAATAGCTCTGGTCCTCAGTTTCCAAACCTGTGAAGTAAGGAAATTAGATGAGCTCAGTGATTCTCATCTCTGGCTGGGCCTTAGAATCACTTGGGGAGGCCTTTAAAAATTCTGATGCCTGGGCCTCACCCTCAATCAGTTCACCCAGAATCTGAGGGCGATGGGCTGTAGACATCAGTATTTTAAACTCTTCCTCAGTGATTCTGAGGCAGACTGAGAACCCCTGAATTCGCTTCTGGTTAAGGTCCCTTTAAGCTCTAAGAATTCTGTGACATGTTGAAATTAGAGGAAGATGATGCATGCGAAGGTGGTTAAAGACATTGGATGTTGAGAAATGAAAACATAAACCAGTATGTTTGGTTTTGACCAGGACTGGCTGAAGGCCGAGCAGTTCCAGGCCTTGCATTGTTTTCCCTTGTGGGAAGCGCTCATCGTGGACAGTGCCACCTCAATTTTCATTCCTGACCTTCATGTTTAATCTTAATAGAAAACAGCCTGAATAAACAAAGATCGGCTTTGCAAGGTTTTTGGGAATTAGGGGAATGGGAAATGAAACAAACACTTATTGAGTATAGCAAATTTACAGAAAAGACAAAGGAAGCTCAGAGATGTTAATCACTTGCTGGAAACTACAGTCACCAAGTAGAATAGTTAGGATTTCAACCTAGGTTTGTCCCACCCAATCGATAACTTGTACTTGACCTGTTCAATGTACTGCTTGCTAACTAGCAACATCTTTATCTTAGAGCCTGGATTTTCATTAGTTGTATTCATGTGATAACTTTCGATGGTAAATACTATTTCTTAGAAATACTCAGTAACCAAGACCAACAAATTTGCACATATTTGGAAGAGAAGCTGCATATCTATGCTGAACTTGGAGAGCTGAGTGGATTTGAGGATGTCCATCTAGAGCCCCACCTCCTCATTAAACCAGACCCCGGAGAGCCTCCCCAGGCAGCCTCATTACTGGCAGCAGCACTGAAAGAAGGTAAGTTGCTTCCAAAAGGATGTGGTTCAACAAACTCATAAAATGTTTATTGGGCAGCTACGATGTGCCATGTGCTACGGTCTTGGTGCTGAGGACCCAGCAGAATAAGACAAAATCCTTACTCTCCAGAAACAGAGAGTCCTTACTTATTCCAGAAACAGCAGCATATATTAAAAAAAAAATGTCAGTTTGGTTCAAGTGCCATGAAGAAAAATAAGGGTAAATGGAATAGAGAGTGATAGGGCTGGGAAGTTTCTATTTTTGATAGGATGACCAGAGAAGGCCTCTTTGATATAGTGATATGTGAGCAGACAAGAAGTAAGTGAGAAAGCCAAGTAGATAACTGGGGAAAGAATGTTCCAGATGTAGAGAACAGCAGGTGCAAAGGTCCTGAGGCAGGTGAGTGCCAGGCTTGTTTGAGGAACAGCAAGGAGGACGTAGAGTGTTATAGAGTGACGTAGGGGTGGGGAGTGGCAGGAGATGAGTCAGAGTTACTTAGGACCCAGATTACATGGACCGGATCAAGGTAAGCACTCAGAACTTCATTCTGAGTGAGATGGGAAAGCAGTACAGAGTTTTGAGTAGAGGAGTGACTTGATTTGTGTTTTAAAAGGAACCCTCTGGGTGCTGTGTGAAGAATAACAAAGTCTAGGGCATAACCGTGGGAGTTGGTGGCTGAAGGAGGGTGGAGGACAAGCTCACTGAAGGGGAAAAAGTTAGGGAGATGATAGGCCAGGGTACTGGAAGGACTGTGTTCACAGAATTGAAATTACAGAGAATCCTGACAAGAGTAGCATTGGGGGAGGTGAGAGAACTTGCACAAGGTGCCATGTCGTTTGAGGAGTCTGTAGATGAATGGCAACCAGGGGGACCAATGAGTGGTGTAATCTGGTGGCATGAACTTCAAGGGAAAAACAGGTTTAGGGAGGAAATGGGGCCAATAGTCTGGAAGTGACAATAGGGACAGAGGGTTTGGGAGACAAAAGAGCCACCCCCCGAGAGTGGAAGGGAATGCTGTCATTCAGCACATGGGTTGGTAAATTACAGACCACGGACTAAATGCACCCCACCTCCCACCGCCTGTTTTTTAGCTGTAGTTTTATTGGAACACAGCCACACCCGCTTGTTTCGTATTGTCTATGGCTGCTTTCTTGCTACAGGGGCAAAGATGAATAGTTGCAACAGAGACTGTACGGCCCACAAAGCCTAAAATATTTACTGTCTGCAGAAATGTTTGCAGAAAACGTATGCCAAGTTCTGCCTTAGAATCTCAGAACATTACCTATGGAAGAGAATTTAGAAATGATCAAATCTATTGTATCTGTTTCACGGTTGGAGAGACTGAGGTCTTAAGGAGGGCGTAGAGGTTGTCTGAAGTGGAGTCCGCTGATGGAATCTCTTACTCATTTATTCATCAAATATTCATTAAGCGGGCTTCCCTGGTGGCGCAGTGGTTGAGAGTCTGCCTGCCGATGCAGGGGACACGGGTTCGTGCCCCGGTCCGGGAAAATCCCACATGCCGCGGAGCGGCTGGGCCCGTGAGCCATGGCCGCTGAGCCTGCGCGTCCGGAGCCTGTGCTCCGCAACGGGAGAGGCCACAACAAGAAGAGCCCGACTAACAAAAAAAAAAAAAAAAAATATTCATTAAGCATCTACCTACTGTGTGCACTATTCTTGGTGCCAACTAAGGAAACAGTAATGCTTTCATAAAAACTTCTAGCTGGGGAAGATAAACAATACACAGAGAAACAAGGTTATTTCAGAAAGTCACAAGAAAATAAGATAATGCGATTGGATGAGGGGAAGGCTTTGCTGTAGAGAGGTCAGGAAAGACTGCTCTGAGATTATATTTTGAGGTGAAAATTGACAGATGAGAAGCCAGCTCTTTGGAGATCTGGGGGAGGACCATTCCTGGGCAGACAGAATGTGAGTACATAGCCCCTGCATCTGGAATGGGCTTGGCATGTTCAGTGAAAGAAGGAAGGCAGGGTGACAGGAGGCAGAGGAGGCTGCTGTGGGTGGGCAGGGGCCAGATCTTTGTAGATTGTGGTTTAAAAAAAGAGAGAGAGAGAGAGACATTTTATTCCAAAATCAGTGGAAAGTTAGTTGTTGGAAGCTTTTAATCATGGGTGTAGCATGATCTTATTTATATCTTGAAAAGAATGAGGGTTGCTGAATGGAAAACAAGATCGGAAGGAGACTAGTTTGCCTGGAGACTGTTAGGAAGTGCTTACAGAGGCTGAGATGAGAGAGGCTGGGGCCTCGGTCTAGACCAGGACTTTTGGCAATGCAAGTAGAGAGAAGTGGGCAGAGGCAAGGTAGATTTTAGAAATAAAGCCAGAAGAACTTCCAAATGGGTTGACACAACCAGGGACCATCTCATTGTCCCTGACGATGTCTTTATCAAATAAGTCGCACACTCTCAATTTTAGCCTGTGCTGCTGGGCATTTTGTGATGCTCTGATACCTGGATGGTAGAACTTGGCACTGATCGTGCACTGCCCTGTAGTAGAGTTAGTTGTGTGTGTCTCTTTCCTTCTCTAGTCTGCAAAGTCTCCTTATTAGTTAACAGATGCCCAGTGGCCCCCAGAACAGAGTAGGTGCTCAATGAGTAGTTGCTAGATTGAATCACTGGACAGAGGGTTTTAGAAATATTTGCAGAGTCCTCAGAATTATACTATCCTATGAGCTAGTTGCAAATTTTTAATTGTAAATAAGAACTTTACTTTCTTGGTGTGGCGTTTCCCAGTCTTACCAGATCCTAAGAGTAGCCATTGGTGCTTGTTTAAAATTCAAATCCCCTGTTTTCTCCTCTGGAGAATCGGATCCAGTAGGTCTAGGGTGAAGATTGGGAATCTGTATTTTATTTAAGGCACATTTGGGGAAATACTCTTTTGAAGAATAGCTAATATTTCTGAGTAGCAAGTTTTAAAATCCTAATGCCTGGGGACTTCCCTGGTGATCTGGTGGTTGAGACTGCCCTCCCAGTGCAGGGGGCCCGGGTTCAATACCTGGTCAGGGAACTAGATCCCACATGCCACAACTAAGAGTTCACATGCTGCAACTAAAGATCCTGCACGCGGCAAGGAAGATCCTGCGTGCCGGAACTAAGACCTGGCGCAGCTAAATAAATAATAAAAAATAAAATCTTAACGCCTAATATCATACTTAAATTAATTGATTTCAGGAAGTTTTTTTAGCATACTAATTTACTGGAAGTTGCATTTGAGTTATTTTTATACTGTTTGTTTTTTTATTGAATTAATTCTCTATCATAAAGTAATGCTAAAAGTATTGGTCTAGATTGCGGGTTGGTAAACTTTTTCTATACAGGGCCAGATAGTAAATATTTTAGGCTCTGCAGGCCATATACAGTTTGGGGAACACAATCTTCTTTGTGCATGTGTGTGTATTGTTAACAATGCTTTAAAAAGGTAAAAGCAATTTTTAGCTCCTGGGCTATATATATATATATATATATATATATATATATATATATATATATATACACACACACACACACACACACACATATATATTTTTTAATTTACTTTTGTTTTCCTCCTTCTCCTTAGCCGAGAGCCTGCAAGTTGCAGTGAAGGCCTCCCAGACGAGCGATGCGTGTCAGTCACCCAAGGAAGGTTGTGGAGAACCTGCTTTGCAGGATGTGTTCAGTTCTCGGGACGCACCTGGATCACCTACTGCTTGTAAGTGAGCATGTAGCCTTTGCAGTGAGCCTGGGCACAGTCCCTGGAGCATATAGTGGGCACATAAAATGAAGGCAATGACTCTGTCCTGATTTGAAGGGTACGAGTGTACTCTTTTGAAAAAAACCTGAGAATAAATATGCTAGCCTCCTTTACCTATAGAAGTGACACTGGTGTTCCAAGGACAAGGACTTAAAGAATAGTTTGTAGGTTATACTGCCATTACCCAGGGAAGCTGTGTACTTTGTTCAAACCCTACCCTGTCTTGTATTTGCTATGACTTGCTGAATACAGTCTTGAAAGAGCTTTTACACTTTTTGGTTTTTTGGAAAAGGGTCCCTGCAGTTCATTAAAGAATGAATGGACCTTTACCTTAATCTCATATCGTCAACTCAGAAAGCATAATTCAGAAAACTAGAATCTAATGCATATATGCACACATGCACATGCACATGCACAGACACAGAGACAGACAGACACACACACACGTGAGGTTTAGTGTTCGGGTTAAAGGCAGAAATGCCGGAAGATTCTTGATCACTGTTATCATACACTTTAGCTGAGGTCAGAATTCATTTATTAAACTGTGTTTCAGTAGATTTTAAATACAGAAAAATAGAACGTGGTGAATTGATTTAGGTAATTTCTCAGAACCGAATTATATGTATAGTTGTGAGCTAAATATTTAGTTCCCTAGAGGTTTCTGAGGTAGGACCATAAAGGATATAGTTTTCATTATGTCCTGGTGATTAACAACCTTACTTCCACCAGGTCTTCTGTGCACAGATAAAATGTGTTTAGTAGCTAGAGATTGGAGGATTAAATTGTCTTAGAATTTCTTTAACAGCATCCCTTGGTTAATTAAGGTACATGGAAGCAGTACAGTTTTAAAGTTCTATACATTTTTTTAAAAACCAGAGCTAATAATTATTCTTAAGTTCTACTTTATCTAATCCTGGGTTTCTAGTTTCAGGATGTGCACATGTGTTTTTCATTTGGACACAGCCCAGATTTGTCAGGGGAGTTGTACTGCCCCAGGTGATTGGCTTTTTAAAGACGAGCCTGCTGACGCCATTGAGGAAGTTCTAGCTAAAAATACGGTGTAGGGATCTGCCAGTCTCAGCCTCAGCCCAGGGACAGCTGGACAGGCTCCACTCAGCTCCTGCAGCTGCTCAGAGCACAGGCCGCACCTACCTCCTGTCAGACCAGGCAACGAAGGCTCTCCCCGTCTGTGTCCACATCTCCCCTGACGTCTGCTAGAACCATGGGAGGCTGTTTACAGTGGCTTGAAGTCAGGGTTCACGTAGAGGAGGGGCAGGTTGGTGGGGTCTTGTACCGGTTTAGTCTCGTGCTGGGGTTTAGTGCTGGGCTGGATTGGAACACGGTGCTACAAGAGTTTGATTCTCTCTCTAGAGTTGATGAGGGTCAGAAGCACTGTCCTGAACGGAAGTCTGTAACTGGATGGTTTGGTTCTGTGATTGACTTGGAGGACTGGGTCCTTCTGAGCTGGGCCCCTGTCCGTCTGAGCTTACAGACCAAGCAAGGCCCTCTATTTTTAGTCCTTGAAATACCTAATCAGGTGGACAGGTAGAATCTACTTCCTGTGAAATTCTGAAATAGAATACAGAAGCAGAGAGACCTGGTCCACGCCACTCTTCTGCCTTCATTTGGTTCACCATCAGCTCCTTTTCCCATTTGATGGTCCTCGTATCTACTGGGGGGAAGAGAGAATGGCTAAGTCTCTGGTAATGCTTTTGGCATCTCTCTAAGAGTTAAGAATAGTACCCAAGAGTCCAACCATTTTTTGAGTGACAGAAGAATCTCTATAAAGTGTTTGTTCACTGTAGTGAAAAAGTGTTGACTAGCTTGGGCAAAATGAACTTAATTTTTAGTTGATATAATTTGGAGCTATTTCTGCTTAAACAAAAACGTCTTTGGAATAAAAGAGGCCTTTGGAATCTTAGAGGACTGTCATTTCCCAAAGTGTTTTCTAATTAATTTAAATAAAGAAAAAGTATTTCCTTCGTCAGTAATGAAGTTTCAAGATGGCACAAAGCGAATATCTATTTCACCAGGGTCCTGATTGGACATGGTTCCAATGAGACTCTGTGTGTGAAAGGGCTTTGGAAAGTCTAGTTTTAATATGTGCAAGGTGAGCATGGTATAAATTTTAACTGAGTTCACGTGGGTTAAGAAAGAAAATCCCACCAATGGAGATTTAATGGATGGTGTGAAGTCTGTATTTGGTACTTAAACATATCTCTGGACTAGAAATATCTCTGTGTTTTCATATGTTAAATATACAGTATTTACAGTATTTGTGAATTTACAGCATAAGTAAGAATTGTGAGGGAAAAAACACACTTGGAAATTATTTTAAAAATTAAGTTATTTGGAGATAAGGACAGCTTCTCAGTTTGTATGACTCTGAGCTCATAAAGTATTAGCCGTCTTCACCTGCTTAGAAACATGTTTCATTCCTGCCATTGGATGCCTCCCTTCTAACCTTGTTTACGGCTCTTGTACCGGCCCTAAGGGAGCCTTTCCCAGACCAGTCTCCTTAGACCAGGCCTGCCAGCCCTTGATTTTCTTCCATGGTGCCTGTTTTCAATTTAACCCCCAGCAGGCGGCTTTTCCTATTAAGTGAAAGTGAGATGCAGAATCCTACCCTTTTGGTACCACAAACACCTCTCCGCTAGAAAGAAAGAAAAGTAAAAAGATGGGTGACAAGGGATGCTGTGGGTCAGTTTGGCCATCTACTAGTGTGTAAGCTCCCTGGGGGCAGGGACTCTGCACTTTGCTCTGTACTTTTTTAGCACCTCTTATAAGAATATTCTATACATGTGATGTTGTGATGTTTCTTATCTTGGAATATGTGTCAGCTGAGTACAAAGAACCCAGTCTACTGGCTGATGTTTGATGATGTCCTTTTTGTTTCTGTCTCAATGGTGTGCTTCCAGCACTAGTCACAGAAGGGACAGGAGGAAGAGGCTGTTGGGATGTGGATCCTGGGACCCAGGGTGTGGGAACCGACCTGGCGGTCTCTGATGCCGGGGAGAAGGTATTGTGAACTGATTTGTTAGTAAACAGCAGCGGTTACTTTGTGTAATCAAACAACCTCAGCTCCTGGTGTGTCCACGGCAGTGAATAGTCCGCAAGCGTTCTCCTGCATTGTCCTCAATTTCAGTATTCGTACTTGAACTTTCCAACTTTTTTCTCCTTAAAATGTTCTTGCTTTTCTGATATCGTGTAGGTGTAAACCAAGAAACCAATGAAAAGTTATTAAAAAGATTTAAAACTCAAATGTTTATCTGTGTGTCTGCGCTTTTGCTTCTGATCTCACTTTCCGCCCTGCCAACCTCAAGCTTTTCACCCACTACATACAGTAACTCTTGGCTGAGAGGTGGTCCTGGACATCCAGGCCCTTATGCAGCCAGGTGGTGCTAAAGTGGCAGAAACAATTTTGACTTTGGAATATTCTGGCTTCTTCACTTTCTTTTACCTTCCTCTCCTTTACGATTGTTTTCCTGTCACCACCCCTGTTGTCACCTGCCTTTTTGTGATAGACTTGTAATCAACCTAACCAATTTCTGCTCTGGGGCAAAGTGATTCCAAACACCTTTTTTTTTTACGTACTATACACGTAGGTTATAACACACTCTTTTAAACATTAAGTGCATGAAATTTTCTGTTAACGTCAAATGAAACTGAGATGTCAGAGAGAGAGAGGGAGTAAGAATATGATTCTGAGAAGTGGCTAGTGGGCCTTCCCAGGATTATCTGGGGCTCAAGAGCTTAACTTTATCTAAAATCGAATTAGGCACATTACCAGATACCACTGTGTGTTAATGTGGGAAGATGACATCTGTCAGATCTTTATGTAACGTTTTGTATATCATATATATATTTGTATATATTACATATGACTGAGAAACCAAAGATATTTTAAGAGCCATAGAAAAGATGGCTGTGATTTAGTGTTTTTTTAAACTTCATAGGCCAAAATGAAAATAGTCGTTAGAGTTTACTCCACTTACTCTGACTCTGAGCTTTCTAACTTATTTCTTCTTAAAACATTCCTGCTTTTCCATCCTTTTCAGGGCAGACTTCACTTTCAAGCCTGTAGCTTCCAGCTGCTTTTATGTTACTGGGGGGGAGGTTGGGGGAGGGTTGAGTAGGAACAGCTTTCTCTTGAATGGAAAGCTGAGGTGGTTCCCACCCCTAAAGCCCTCCCCTTCCATGATTCAGTGACAGGTAAGAGGTTACGTGTTCAGGGTGCTCTTTGGATGAACCTACCTGGAAAATGTTGCCATTCATAAGGAGGCATTTTTAGAAACGAAATGAACTGACATACACGGCAGAATCATTTGAAATCACACTTTAAATAAGCATATGATGGGTATTTTGTAATTATCTTTCTTAATATGTTAAGGTTTAAAAAAAAAAATTTCTGAAAGGATTTTTCAAAATTACTGATTTGTAACCCAAATGGCAAAATATCCCGCGTGTAAAGCACTTAACTGCAGCTATGCACGTTCACCACAAGGTGGCAGACGAACTCCATTAAAAAGATGATGTTCAAAATTCCTGCCTGGTATCAAACCAAGTGCATCTTGGGAATAAGTAACTACACATAGCACAATCCAGCTCATTTCTATGTTTCTTATGTGTGTAGAATATAAAAATTATACCCCACACAATCTTTTTATTACAAAAGCAGTGGGATGTGGAGCAAGGACAGAACCAGAGGAGCAGAGAGAACTCCGGAACTCACTACAGAACAGGGGTTCTCAGCCCCGGTTATCTTCCTGAGGGTTGGGCGCAGATCTCATGACTAAACTCCATCTCCTTTCCCATCGTTTGTCCTTCCCCTGTTTGAGGTGCTGCTAATGACGTCTTTCATGGGCAGCGTTGGGGAAGGGTGACGGGCGGGAAGAAAAGACCTGGCTAGCTCATCATGGCCTCATCAGCCTGAACTAACTGAAGTCAACAAGTCTCAGGTTACCTGAGAACTGTTTCCTGCGGTTTCAATTTAAAGCTGCTCAGACAAGACCACAAGTGGTGTGCCGGAGACTGTAGGAGGGCAGGGAATCTGATGATCCCCATGGCGTGAGGTGTGGAGGGCCTAGTGGTCCCTCACTCTTTATCTATAGAATGGAATGTGCGTGTCCTTTACATTCCAGGCAGCGTTTTTAGGTTTGCAGGTACAGTACTGAATACAGATGAAATCTTGCTACTCGTTGGCTTACATCCTAATGAGAGAAAAGAGACAACAAACGAACAGACAAATGTTGAATTCTGAAAACTGGAAACCCTCACTATCCACGTGTGCCCCCAATGTGTGCAGTGGAGAGGCAATGAGTGAGGTAGAGATGCATCCCCCGGGAGCACATGGTCTCCGGTGGCCTCATTCAAGGCCTCTGCTGACAGGGCTTCTACTAAGGCGCTCATGCATGGGCCCAGTGAGCTCTGAGAGGGGGCACCTGGAGCTGGCCAGCTGAGCGCTCTCCTTTGGGCTGCCTCTGGGTCTGGTTTCTCCTCCCAAACACTGTCTGTTGTGGCTTTGTAAATCTCGAAGTGAGTTAGAGACCAGGCCTGATGATCTCTGGCTTCCAAATCTGGCCTCCAGGATGGAAGCTGGGCCCAGGAGACAACTTCAACCTGGGCGCAGAGAGCTCCCTTTACAATACGGTTTGCACGAGGTAAACATTGTCACTTGGAGCCTGCAGCGCTCCTTGACCATCTTCCCTGAGTGTTTTAAGGGATGGCTGGATGGAAAGTTGCCATGCATCTCAGATACCAAGTCTGCACAGAGGGGGTTCTCTCTCATCAAGTGGTGGTTTAATTCTACAGGCTTTGATTTCTGGGAGGAAACAGTCGCTACGGAAGAGTTGAGAGAGAGAGGAGTGATTTCCCTGAGGTCGTATACTGTGGGACAGTACAGTGCAGCTTTTCAAGAGTAGAGTGTGTTCATTTTCTTCTGTTTTTATATATTTTAGGTGGAATATAGAAGTTTCCCAAGTTCTTCACAGTCAGAGGTGAGCTCTGCATACCTTAAATATGTTACCGTCCTTTGTTTGTGGATAGTGAATGCTTTTTCAAAAATTTGACACTCACAATCTTATTTTTCAGATTATACAAGCGATACAGAATTTAACCCGTCTCTTATATAGCCTTCAGGTAACTATGCTTTGACCCTGTGAATGTTTCTCTTCATGCAACTCACTTTATTCGATGAGTCCTGGACTTTAAAAATTAGAACATTTAAGAGGTAGTGAATGATCTTAAAAGAACACCAAGCCTCACCCCAAATGTAACTCAGCTAGATGCTTTGAACTTCACCTGGTTTTGTAATCACGAGGCATCACCACTACTACAGTTTATACCATTCTTCTCTGAAACCATAAAACAGTTCATATCTTTAAAAAATATTGATGAGTATGATCTGGCTTGAAGTTTACAATGAATCTCTTTCTTAGGTGAGTATAGCATGACTTCACATTTTCTGGTGAAAACTTAAATTCACACCTAAACTTTTTTCACTTCCACATGTGGCCTTTAGGCCTTTGGGGCAATTAAATAATTCATAAGCTCTTTCATTGTTTTCTTGGTTCATCCACCTAACATTTATTAAGTTCCCTCTCTGGGCCTGGCACCGTGATGAGGGCCAAGCACACAAGGACAAGTGGTCCACAAAGTCTACCATCAGACGGCTCACTGTCTGTCCAGGAAAGACAGGCATTGTGAAAATGAGGACTCTAAGGCTGGATGATCCCTTAGGTCGTGCACAAGAAAGGCTGAATACATACAGTTGCTTAATTTGTGAGTTAAAAAACATTTTAAAACGATGTGAAAGCAATGTTTATAGACAGATTTATAGAAAATCTTGATACAGGTACATAAAGCAAAATGACTTGTGATTTTGTGAGAGAATTACTGTTGTCATGGGGGTATGTACCCCTCTAGGTTTTTGCTGGTGTTTTTTTTGCTTGTTTTTTTTTGTGTTTTTTTTTTGAGGTACGCGGGCCTCTCACTGTTGTGGCCTCTCCCGTTGCGGAGCACAGGCTCCAGACGCGCAGGCTCAGCGGCCATGGCTCACGGGCCCAGCCACTCCGCGGCATGTGGGATCTTCCCGGACCGGGGCACGAACCCGTGTCCCCTGCATCGGCAGGCGGACTCTCAACCACCGTGCCACCAGGGAAGCCCCCTCTAGTTTTTTGAATCATTTTATACATACTCTTGGAACCTGTACCTTTCTATGTCATCACTTGCCTCTATAGCATGATTTTTAATGGTTGAATAATATTCAGGGCTACAGAATTTATCCATTCCTCATAGTTTATACTTTTGTGTTAATAACAGTCTAGCACACATCCTTGTGCACTGATCTCTTTGAACATATGTGAGTGTTTCCTTAGGATAAATTACTGAAATTAATTTTTGAGGTTTTTGATAGACATTGCCAAAATAATCAGCACCCCTCTCTACTTGTCCTCAATTTGAAAATAGGTCAAGTTAGCTCACGATCTTAATTTGCATTTTTTTTGGTTACTACTGAAATTAAACGTTTTTCCCCACTGGTTTATTGTCATTCATATTTCATATCTTATACCTGTTGAATATTAAAAGAAAATAAGGAAAATAAAAGTCTGATTTTAAGGTTTGTTTTTTTTTAGATTAGAACACATTTCTCTTTATAATAAAAGTGAACAGAAAATCAGTTAGGTTACAGTGGAATAACAGGAAAAGTAAACTTGACCTAATTAACATACATAAAATAATACACACAAGAACTGAATAACACACATTCTTTTTAAGTACACCTGGAACATTTCAAAAATTTACCATATTATGGACCACAAAGTAAGGTTCTACAAATTTCAAGCAACTAAAATCATACAAAGTATATTCTAGGGTCACAGTGCAATTAATTTAGAAACGAGTATCAAATATTCTACTGGAATATCCCTGTTGATTTAGAAATTAAGAAAATATATGCTTAAGTAAATCAGGACTCAATGAAGAGAATGTATTGAAGATTATAAAATAGTTTTAACTGAAGGATCATAAAATTACTAAGTATCAAAATATGTACGTTATAGTTAGAGTCATGCTTAGAGAAAATTTAGAGCTTTAAAAAGCACATATTCAAAAAGAAGAAAAGCTAAAAGTCAATGAGTTATGCATCTATCTCAAAAAGTTAAAAAACAACAAAATAAAATCCAAAGGAAGTAGAGGGAAGGAAGAAATAAAGTTAGCATAAATTATATAGAAAATAAATAATAGAAAAGATCAATAAAATTCAGATATTGTTTCTTTTAGGACATTAGTAAAATTTTTAAAACCTCATATTGATACTAATGAGAAAAAAAGAAAAAGGCATGAAAAAATCATTATCAGCAAGAAAAAGGGGACATGGACATAGATTACATACACCTGGAAAAGTTTAAAATAGGGTAATATGGACAACTTGTTGCCAATTTGAAAATGTTGAAGTAATGGAAATTTCTATTTGAAAATAGGTCAAGTTAGCTCATGATCTTAATTTGCATTTTTTGGGTTACTACTGAAATTAAACTTTTCCCCACTGGTTTATTGTCATTCATATTTCATATCTTATACCTAATTGAATATTAAAAGAAAATAAGGAAAATAAAAGTCTGATTTTAAGTTTTTACCAGAAAAAAATATCATGCTACATTTGCTGTTTTCTTATTAATACTTTGCATCAAGACTTCTTTTATGTTCTATCGATCATCTTCCTATTCTTGATCTAGTACCACTATCTTATTTATTAAAGTTTTGGATTACATTTGAATGCATGACAGTCTTCTCTTATTATTTTCCATGTTTGTCTGTATGTTCTTTCATAAGAGCTTTTGAATCAGTCTGACAAATTTCTTAATCTTCTACTGAGACAGTTAAATTAAAATATTACTATATTTATGAATTAAATTGGGGAGGATTGACACTTTTGCAATAATTGGTTCTCTTGTCTGAAAACATGTTATTTTGTGTTCTGCTGGAAAGCTTTGTAATTGTCTTCGTTTAGGTACTTTTTTTTTCTGCTAAGTTTATTCCTGGATATTTTTGTCTCTTTGTTCCTATTGTGAATGGAATTTTTTTTTTTCATTCTGTTTCCCCAATGTTGGTTGCTGGTATAAATACAGGTATTGGTTTTTTATATATTTTTTAACTGGCCAACTCATTGAATTTTTGTTTTTTTGTTTTAATAGTTTTTCTGTTGATTCTTTGGACTATTCCAAGTAGAAAGTAAAAAATTGAAAGCAGTGGTATTTTGGCTACTCTTCAATAATTATATCAATTTCATTTTCTTGGCTTACAGCTTTGGCTAGAAATTCTGAAATGTCTTAAATAATAGTGGCAATAGTAAGCACCCTTGTCGTATTCAAGATTTAGTGGGAATGCCTTTAGTGCCTTATATTAGATATGCTGGTCTGGGGTAGATGGTCTTAGAGATTAATTTCTCATGTAAAACAAATATCCTTTCTTTTAAACTTTAACTGAGAAGGGGTATAGTTTGCGTGCACTTCATTAACTTTTGGGAGATGAAAACATTGAGTGTCCCAGCTTGTGTTGCCTGATGAAAACATTCACAAGGTCATATCTCTTCTTTTCAACCTTGAATGCAGCCCTCTGTGGATTCAAGGTTCAGAAAAGCTGGATGACCTAAATGACCTAGTTTTTGCAACACTGAAGCAAATACCAAATTCTATAGTGGGTTCTCTTAACCAAAGCTTTTGAGCTGGTCTAAGGATATGGGCTGTCAAAGATTTCTGTTCATGGCACAGTCGTCTCTTTTGAAGCTGAATGTTTTATGCATGATTAAAGTTTTTACAAAGGATTTTTGAATCAGATGAAAATGAAATTTGATCTTATGTTAGAAGAATAGAATTAGAGATGAGGTATAGGCAAGGCAGAGAGGAAAGGACACAGTTCAGCTGAGAAAAATTAAGAGAGAGCGAATATACATGTATAACTGAATCACTTTGCTGTACAGCAGGAATTAACACAACATTGTAAATCAGCTATACTTCAATATAATTAAAAAAAGAAAAGGAGAGAGAGTGAATTGGGAATTTTCCTAAACTTCAAAAGCAAGCGTTATTCTCTGTCCTAAATGTAAATGTAAACTTTAAGTGTGAAGATGAATATCCAGTCTTCAGATTTCACCTCTCTGCTACAGAAGGGAATAGTCTTATCCCGAATGTTAAATATATATGAAGAATACTTCAGGGTAGCATTTAATTAATCTAACTGTAATCCTTACATGAGAGTTACCATTGCCTATAGCAGTTTTGGCATATAAAATGTTGGATATTTTGTTTGTTTGTTTTACTCTGATGATGCCCTTAGGATTTGTTAGAATTAAGTGGTGATGTGCAGTCTACAGTTTGCTTTAGCCAGGTCAGCAGAGTCCTGAATGGCTTATTATTTCATATTTAAATATCAAAGTTATTAGTACCTCTTCTCAATGGTATCATTGTTTTCTTTATAATAACTGCTAAAAGACATTAATCAAATATTCATGTGAATTTGAAATTTTTTGAATTGATTTTCAAATTTAAAAACGTGAAGTTTATTTCAAAAGGCCCCACTGAATACATTTTTGAGTCTTACTCCAAGACAAATACCAATTTAAAATATACCTTAGTTCTTTAACCTTCAAAAGCATGGGAAACTGCTGAGTTAACAAATAACTAATGGTCAAATCCCCATCTTCCCAGCATCTGTTACATGGACAGCTTTTTAAATTTTTAGGAAAGAAAAATGAGAATTTATCCCTAGGAGAGTAATAATTTCTCATAACGAGTCACAACATACACACACATACCCAGTATGTGGCCATTTTCAATTTGTCCCTTTTCTGTTTCTTTGTGCTTTCATTGGGGACTTTTAAAGTTAAAGGCTTCCAGGGGCATTTACAGATATTTTTTTGTTTTGTTTTGTGGAATCCTTCCAAAACTTGTCAGTTATTTCCTGTGATACTGCCAAACTTTTTGTAGGCAGATGCCGTAACTCAAAATGTTTTTTTAACCTGGTTGGTAATGTCCTCTGGGTTTTAGAGTATCTGTGTCCCTGGTTGGTAATGTCCTCTGGGTTTTAGAGTACCTGTGTCCCCTGAAGCAGTCCAGCCTCCTTTTAGCACTCTATTAAACAAATGAATTTCAGCTTAGTGTTTTGTGCATGACCTTCCTGCTGTAATACAAAGAAATAGCAGTAATGAGACTAGCTTTACCATTTATACATCTCCTAAACATGATATTAACTGCTGTTCTTGGGCATTACATTATAAAAAAAGGTTATTTAGCAAAGCTTCCAAGTGGCTGACTTTTATTTTTATGTCTTCATGTATGTCATATAGCTTAAGTAATTTCTGGTTTGAGACTCAAAGGGTACTACCAGATTTATATAGATTCTTAAATTCTCCTGAATTACTGACTGTCAAGACCTCAGAAAAAGAATGAGGCATAGCACAGGAATGCAGAGTCCTGTGAATTTAGGTACTGAATTCTTATTGCTTAAATATTATCCAACAACCAGCAACAAACCGCATTTCCAAAAGGGGATGAGTATTGCTTCTGTGCTTTATTTCTTTTGTGTATAAATTCCAGGCCATACCACTAAGGAAATGCAGACAAGCCTATTTGAAGTGCCAAGGTCAGTCTCAGGAGGTAACTTAGAACAAGGACAGAGATATTCAGAGAAAATAATTTGGTCATGCTCTTGAGGTGGTACCAACCCAAGGTGCACACGGTACGGACGCCTTTGCTTTTTTTGCCCTCTGCTCGGACAGGCCGCCTTGACCGTTCAGGATAGCCACATTGAGGTGCACAGGCTGGCTCTCCAGCAGCAGGAGGGCCTGTCCCCCGGCCCCTCTTTCCGAGGCAGCCCCTTTCAGGACGAGGAGAAGCGCCGAAGCCTGGAGAAGCGGCGGGAGGAGCTGGCCAACCTCCACGAGCTGCAGCAGCAGTTCCAGCAGGACCGGCAGCGCTGGCACCGCAGGTGCGACCAGCAGCAGCGAGAGCAGGAGGCCAAGGCCAGCCGGCTGCAGGAGCGCGAGAGGGAGTGCCGGCTGCAGGAGGAGCTGCTGCTGAGCAGCCGGGGGCAGCTGGACCAGCAGCGCCAGGAGTACCAGCAGAGCCTGGAGCGGCTGCGGGAGGGCCAGCGCCTGGTGGAGAGGGAGAGGGAGAGGATGCGGGCCCAGAAGAGCCTGCTGCGTGGCTGGAAGCACAGCCGGCAGAGGAGCCTTCCCGCGGCGCTGCCTGGAGGAGGCGTGGAGGTACGGGTCTCCCTGTGCTTGCAGAAGCAGCGCGTGAGACGGCCGTGGTCGTGGTGGTTCCGGAGCCACTGACCACACGTCTGTCTTTTTCGCTGCTTGTGTGAGAGCTCACAAGAGTTACTCGGTGGGTAGGTAACGAAAGCTGGGACCCTTGAGAGACAATACATATGCACCTTGACTTGAAGTATGGACACGTGAAAGGTCCGGGTGCTGCTGGACCATGGGTTCATTGTACTCGGAGACCCCCTTACCCGAGGGAAGAAATACAGACTAGAGTTGTACCACTGAGGCGAGCTTTACCCTGGAGGCACGCTCACCGTGAGCATGCTGTAGTTCGAGCTCCCCTGTATATGCTCCAGTCTTCAGAGCTCTGTATAGATTTACCTTTCAGCAGATCAGTTAAGCTATTAATGTTCATAGGTACTGAATTTAACAAGTACACTACTATTCCGTTATTGCAAGCTTATTCTCTTTTTGTAAATTTGACCTCATAAATTCAAAATCCGTTTCACTAATGACAGTTAACATAAGTAGTATACTAATTAATGTTTGGGCAGGATAAAGCCTTTCCAAAAGTTCCGTGTTTCATTTTGCACCCACTCTAACCAGACTTGACAATTCCATTTGTTCCAAGAGTTTCCTTTTCTGTACTATGTGCACATAGATACTTTTTATTTTTTTTATATTCTTTTTTTAATATCTTTATTGGAATATAATTGCTTTACAAAGTTGTGTTCGTTTCTGTTGTACAACACAGTGAATCAGCTATAAGTATACATACATCCCCATATCCCCTCCCTCTTGAGCCTCCCTTCCACCCTCCCTATCCCACCCCTCTAGATGGTCACAAAGCGCCGAGCTGATCTCCCTGTGCTCTGCGGCTGCTTCCCAGTAGCTAATTTACACTTGGTAGTGTATATATGTCAGTGCCACTCTCTCATTTCATCCCAGCTTCCCCTCCCCCTCACTGTGTCCTCAAGTCTGTTCTCTACGTCTGTGTCTTTATTCCTGCCCTGCTGCTAGGTTCATCAGTACCGTTTTTTTAGGTTCCATATATGTGCGTTAACATACGGTATTTGTTTTTCTCTTTCTGACTTACTTCACTCTGCATGACAGACTCTAGGTCCATCCACCTCACTACAAGTAACTCAGTTTCGTTCCTTTTTATCGCTGAGTAGTATTCCGTTGTATATATGTGCCACATCTTCTTTATCCATTCATCTGTCGATGGACATTTAGGTTGCTTCCATGTCCTGGCTATTGTAAATACTGTACATAAAGTTGTAAAAGTTGACAAGCTTCTAAGAGTGATCTGTGTTATATCTGACTTTCCTTTCAAGTTGGCTAAATTATATTTATTGCCAATACTTTATGTATACATGAATGTCTTCAACTTTTATTTAGCAAAAGTGAAAATGCTATTCCCTTCAAGTAGAAACACTTTAACGGCAGTGAGCACACAGCTGCATGTGTCTTTTCATTTGATTTTTATTTCTTTTAAGATATGCTGTGTGTTGCCAATTGAAGTTTTTGGTACTAGCTCATTAAAAGGGGATGGGAGGAGGGAGTCAAGGGTAATATCCTTCTCCACCTCACTCATTAAAATCTTGATTGTTAAATTCTGTTAGGAATAAATACTTTATAAAACTGGTGCAAATTGCTGGAAGAATTATTGTGTTTTTTCTTTTTTCTTACACAGGTAATGGAACTTAATCAATCTGAGGGTTTATGTCATGAAAATTCATTCTTCATCAATGAAGCTTTAGCGCAAATGTCACTTGACACTTTGAACAAACCGACTCCAGCAGATATCCATCAGGATGCCACTTACCCCCCAAGTATATCTCATTCCGATTTGGTAAGGACTAGTGAAAATCAAGTAGACCTCAAGATGAACATTTCTCAGCCCTTGGATGTCAGCCATGAACTGTGGATAGCCGCTGGGTCCTGTCATCAGATACCCCCTCTCCACCAAAGCAGCAAGGATTCTTGTAAAAATGGTAATTAATACTTTAAACATCATCTGTATAGTTTCCACAAGGAGCTGTTTTTCTGAATGGTTGGCTCTTCTTTAGAGCAACTCAAAGTGGGCCCTAGAATGGGAATAAATTGGTGCTGATGAGCTGGACTTTGTGGCATAAACTTTTCTTGGGGGAAGTCTGGGGGCCATCACTTGTGAGCATTGAGACAACTAGACCATGGTTGGAGGGCTTAGAGGATGCCACTGAGATGTGAGAACCAGACAGGGTTTTTAGGTCTGTGGGTTAAATAATAACTTTCCTTGAAAAGTGAAGCAACTTGATATTTATTCCTCACTGTAGACCCAACCACATCCTGATACACATACTTGTTGACTCTCAGAAATAAAAGATATGGACAGGGTTTGTGGTAGGGCTTTATTGTCTCTCGGGGCAATTTCCTGCAATGTTAGTAAAATCTTCTGTACTGCCGTTAAATACCCCAAATGAAACTGTTAACATCATTTGTCATTGTAAAAAAAAAAAAGGTGTTGTGTCTCCATAAGTACCTCGTAATGACACAATTTGCTAATCCCATTAAAGCATTTGCCAAATATAAATGAAAGGCAGCTCGAGTTACCAACTCCACATGAATCCAAATGATTTAACTCTATGTCTATTATAAATTGTTTTCTGTGGGATATGAGGTAGGGAATGAGAAGAACTCAAAACCTCTCTACCGAAAAACAGATGGCATGCAATAGAATAAACAAATGGCTGGCCACATGGATGGGAAATAAATCACCGACAGCAAAATGTTTCAGAAACATGAAACAAGCAGTGGTATAGAGAGCTTCAGAACTGGACAGAGATTGGTTTCCATGCTTCATAGCTATTCTTAGTTTGTCAGTAGGATAATTTGTCAGCAATGAAAAGGTTTAAATGTGTTCAGCTTCTCCGAATTAGAGAGTAAATAATTCTGACACTGCCTGAAAGTAGATGTATTACTAACCCAAATTATGTTGATTCTTAGCAGTGGATAATTCTTTACATTGTTCAGTCATTGCTGTAACATTCTTATTTCTTGTCAGCATATAAGAGAGAATGAAATAGTTCTTTAAGTATCGTTTCAAGTATTCCTTAAATAAAAAAGAAAAAAAATGGAACAGTGAATTGGGGTTTAAAAAATGGGCAGAATGTAGCAAAGTGTAACCCCTTTAATGTATTGTGTTGCAGCCCTAACACTACAGAGACCATATTGCAGAATGCTTTCTCTTGATACATGTTGCTTTGCTGTGTTGGATTCATTAAGTTGCTATCTGCAGTGCTTTCTGTGTTGTCACTGTGATTTTGCATACTGGCTTTGGGGTAATTCAGAAACTCAGTTTGCGTTAAACCACATTACACTTTTGTTTGAAAGAAGTATTTCTGCTTTTTCTGCATCTCCTACCTGTTTCTGTTGACTTGTGCTTTAAAGTAGAAAGCTTTTAAACATTTGGCAGCCTGCATACAGGAGACAGAACATGTACTAAGGAAATAAACAGTAATTATATATAAAACCAGTGTCTCCACATGTAAGGAATTAAATATAGCCCAGGGAAATGCTGAGAAAACGTGCTTCAGCTTCAGATGTTGTGTCCAGTGTAGGCCAAGGACACTCAGGACATTGATAGAAGAGAGCAAAATCAACTCCGGCCTTCCTCTCTCAGGAGCGTCCTGGTGTGTGCAGGGGGAATTAGATCAGAAATGCAGTGTGGGCTGTCAAGCGCTGGAGTTTTGCAGCTGGTCAGAAAACCCTATTTATGTTTGTTTACTTAAGCGTGATAAGAAGTTTCTGGAGGAGAGAGAAGAAAGTCAGAGATTAAGGAGGTGGTAGGGAAGTGGAATGAAAATTGGATATATATTCTTAAGAGGGTTGTCAGGGCCAGATAAAATTGTTCAAGCCACTCCAGAGTTTTCACAGTTCTTAGAATCAAAAGTAGCTCAATGGGCTTCCCTGGTGGCGCAGTGGTTGAGAGTCCGCCTGCCGATGCAGGGGACACGGGTTCGTGCCCCGGTCCGGGAATATCCCACGTGCCGCGGAGCGGCTGGGCCCGTGAGCCATGGCCGCCGAGCCTGCGCGTCCGGAGCCTGTGCTCCGCAACGGGAGAGGCCACAGCAGTGAGAGGCCCGCGTACCGCAAAAAAAAAAAAAGTAGCTCAACATAAGCCACTGATGTGGTCTTCTCTAGACTCTGCTTGTGCTGTCCACGTAGGCCGGGGGGGAGGGGGTGGGAGGCGGGAGGGGGGGACAGTCCATGTGCCAGAATCAAGGATGATGCCATGTCAATGTCCCCTGCTTTCACATTTGCTCTTGTATCTTTGTGTGAGTGGTCATCAGTGACAACTACCCTGGCTAACGAAGTTTGCCTCTCCTGTTCTTGGCTGGTGTGTTTGTTAAATGTGTGTTTAACCGTGGTTTGGTTTCATCAGTAGGCCCTAAGGTCAGCTGTTTTCAGGCAGCTCCTTAAAGAATGCTTTGCTCTTTTGTCTGGTCTTGTACTGGGTGCCTAAGAGCAGCTCAGATAAGTGGAAATGTGAATTTTGGGAGCAGTAAGCCTGGTGGAAAAAATTGTATGTAAATAAAATTCTCTAACATGTTTAGCTGTCACCTAGATTGGAATTTTCATTTAGTTTGTTCAAGCCAGCTTCACCAGACATTTTCCTGTGCACTTTGTGTTCAGTTGGTTTTTCAATATCTCCATCACCACTGCCACCACTGACAGTTATATGACACTTGCCAAATTTCAAGCACTGTGCTAAGGTTTGACATGGAGAAGTTCATTTAGTACTCACAACCACCCACTGAGATGGTTCTGTTATTATCTCCATTTGAGGGGGGAAACTGAGGCACAGAGAGGTTCAGTGACTTGTCCAAGGCCACAGAGCTAGTAAATAGCAGAGCCAGAGAGGAACTGGGAAGACTGGTTCCAGAGCCCATGCTCTGAACCATTACACTGCACGTTGTTAATTTCTAGAATGCTGTTTTGAATTGCCCTTTTAAAAGAAGTTGGAGTAGAACTAGAATAACTCCTATTGTAATATCTGGCAGGATGTTTATGATGAAGGTCCAGTTCTTTGTTGTTGTTTTCGTCCCTTCCTTCTTTTTTTAATATTACCATTTGGAAAATATTTCTCAATCATTTGGGCTGTGGTGGCCAGTGCTTGCATGAGCTCTGAGGATCTTCAGATATAAATACCCTTCAGCTTCACTTTTTTCCCCGTAAGACACATTGTGTTAAGGATCATTTGTTTTCTCTAGTGTTGCCTAACGATATCCCTGTGTTACTTGTAAATATTTTTTAAGGTAATACTTTATAAAGAACTTTACTTTCCAGTTTTGGAAGTTGTCTCATGAACAAAATTCTTGATGTTTGAACATTAGATCCAAGTTGGTATTTGATTTTATTTATAGTGGAAGAGATGGTTGGCTTAGGAACTTAATCTGCACTCCTCTGAGGGACACTAGCCAAGACTACAGAAAATTTGAATTTCTTTAAACAATATAGTCCCTGTAGGACAATTGCTATGTAATTGGCCCCATGAAATGCTCAACTGTATTAGTCTTCTTAAAGGCAAAACCAACAAAAAGCATTCTTTCTGTGCCTTTTTTTTTCTCTCCTAGCTTTAGAATTCTAGGACTATTTGCTCAGTGTCTCTCTTAGTTTATATTTGCCTTTTTTTCATTAATCAACAGAGAAAATACTTTCTGGTATGATAATTAATCTGAAATCTTCTTAGTCTCCCTTTTCAGTTATATTTTTATCTGTACCTCAACATTTGCAGGTTACCTAGAAAGTTCCTTTTCAATGTAGTTAAAGCATCATAGTTTTGCCATAACGCATATGATAAAATTTAAATCGAGAACCAAATTTCATGCCTTAGTCACGTAGTTGACATTGGAAAAAGAATAACTTTATCAAGTTTGGACTCCAGAAGAGTGTTTCGCTTTGCTGCTTGTTAGAATTTGGTGCCCATCAAAATATTTTCAGATTCAAAGCATTGTATTCAGAATACTTCATCTTGGCAATGTTGTTATATTTTTTTAAATACAGACAGCTGCGTTAAACTTTCAATGACATGTTTTTTACATATGGAAATAGAATAGAAATTTTCCAAATAAAAGGCTATGCTGTAGTTAGTATTTAAGTAATAGTCTTTTAGAAGTGAGTACGTGATAATTTCTAACGTTTTAAAAATATTCTATAATTCAGAAATGGGTACCTTATTTGTGTTATCTGTGTGGAAGGAAGCTTTATTAAAGACCTACAGGCAATTTCCCATAAAACTGAAGCTGGCGTTAGATAATATAAACTTCAGTGACAAAGAAGTATTTGAAAAGGTGGATGTATAAGTTTGCTAGAGCTGCCATAATAAAGTTCTGGAGGCTGGAAGTCAAAGATCAAGGTGTTGGCAGGGTTGCTTTTTCTGAGGTCTCTCTTCTTGGCTTATAGATGGTTATCTTCTCCCTGTCTTCACATGGTCTTTGCTCTGTGCAAATCTGTGCCCTAATTTCATCTTCTTAAAGGACATCAGCCATATTGGATTAGGACCCATCTTAATGACCTCACTTAATTACTTCTTTGAAGGCTCTATCTTGGAATATATTTTGAGGTAATGGGGGTTAGGACTTTAATATATGAATTTGGGGAGGACACAATTCAGCCTTTAACACAGGATAAAATTATTATTTTCTCTTTGCTATTTTTAGGTGCCAAGAAAGCTTTAATTTTTTAAGAAATGTACCATATTTGAACTATAATTTAACAATCTGAGCTTTTTTTTTTTTTTAACTTGGTTAGGGGAGTGAACTAAACTTTGTTTAAAAAATGCGTAACAGTAAAATTGTGGTAAATATCTATATTCTTTATATTTGTAGATATAGGTATCTGTTATCAAGCCTGTGTCAATACAGAAATTAGGGCAGAAAAATGTCTATATATTCATTAGGACATTTTCCCAAACCTAGACCTTAATTAAAGAGCTTTGGGAATTTTGAACTCT